ACTGAGTTAGCAAGTCCCAGCTTGATAGAACAACCAAACATAACTTCGTAAGGTGAACATTAAATTCCCTCGTGATATGCTTTGTCTTATTTGTTTTTATTCATGTAGCCAACACGTTCTCAACGTCTTGGTTTGTCCGTTCGATAGAACCTTAAGATTGACTGTGTCTCTTTACCGTAAACTATTTTTATATCACTCCAAATTTCACATAAACTGTTTATGAGTTGGTTGCAAAATTCCCTATCATTGTTCGAATGGAGAATATTCGGACCTCTAGAAGTTGTGAAAATATCCAGAAGGTGATATGCTACTTTATCAGCTCTTTTTATACGCAAACTTCGGAGTCGGACGAATTTTGCAAGATCATCTTGATACACTAAAAGGAACAAAAATCTGTTAGGTCGACTTCGCATCGAGAATTCATTTGCTATGCACAGTTGGTTTGATTACAATTCCCATTTTCACAGTTTTTTTTTTTTTATTTTTCTGACATGGTTCACGTAGTCAAATACGTGGCGATATATTTTACTGTTACACTCTTGTACTTGCGATCCAGTTTCTTAATCATACTGGTTCTTCAACCATGGGCAACTGCGATACGAGCGTCGTGTATGACGTTGAAGACTTCATCATTTGTAACATGCAGGATTTCTGCAGATATTGGTGCTAGAAGTTTCACCTCTTCTCCAGTGTTTAGAATATCATCGCGTTTCAAATTTCTGTAATGAACTTTTTCTTTCCTTCACATATTTTGCTTCTTTCACTTCATTTATTAAAGACGTGTATTTGTCATTTGTTAAATAAAAGATGTTATCGTGGTTATTTTTTATAGATTCTGATAAAATGTGGTAAAACATTTTCACATAACATTACTAATTTCCTTTCATCAAAATATCCCCCCCCCTAATATGTTAAAATGAAAACAAACTGCTTCTACTTTAGATCGTAGCCGCTTACACTTGTTTGAATTCTCTTGAAGACTGGAAATGGCGTCAATAAGGAGGGAAAGGAACAGAAAAGTGTTGCCACGGAATTTGCATGCCCAGGCTTATTTAAGTTTGATTTAAATCCCTCATTTCGGGCTTTTACTGGAAAGCGTTGGTAATTCTTAGGTTTTACCGTAGAAGCTTGGTAAAAGGCCGAAATGGAATCGTATTAAAGCATAGTTCGGACTTTGACCAAGCCACTTTAGTAAAAACTAGGTTTTACCGGTAAAACCTAGGATTTACCAGACTTCGGGATTTTACACTAACACATGCACAAATATATAGAGGAGTAAAAGTTTAAAATAGAGTGTCCCTTCATAATTTTGGCTATTTTTTTAGAACGACAAGAATGGCGCCAAAAAGCAATGTTTCCAAGATGGCTCAAAACAATGCTGAAAATGTATGTTACAAAAATAACAAAAGTACTCACCTTGCATGTTCGTGGCTACGTCTCATCGTCATCGTCACATAACTGCTGCCCATGCATAATGCAAATCATATAGTCCCTGAAACGATCTTCCTCCTCCTCCCGATTGATTCTAGTATTGGTGATGGCACAAAAACTCGTCAAAGTAAGAATACAAATTGTCATCCGACGATTGCCGAAGATCCCGCTTGCGAAACTTACGCTTAATGTAGCTCACATGCCCTCAATGGTGTTGAAATGAGCGCCAGTTTCAAGCACCTTCCTAGCAACAAAACCATTCACAGATATGCGATTCATCGCTAAGCTCGACCAGATTCATATCTTTCGTGAAAACTTGACATTCACAGCAAGAATTAATTATACCTTCATTCAATTACAACTTTCCCAGACTTTCGCTCTAAATCATTAAAAAAACAGTATTTATCTTGCCGGACATACTTTTTCGTGGAAGTGACGAGACAACAATTAATTAGAATCAGCCAACAACGATCTGAATTCCCTGCAGACAAGGTTAGCTCGAGGAATTTCATTTACGTTACAATTTCGGAGGAGGTGTTTGACTTCTCGAAGTAGCTTTAAATTGCTGCATTGAAAGTGGAAGAATTACGCCAACTTCTGGAAGACCTACCCTGCCCCAGAGAAACACAGGTTCAGCGCTTGGAAGGTTGCTGGAATTTCGCGACTTTTCTTCTCCGTGTCCTCGCCAAGTTCAAGGTTCTCGCCAGGTGAAGAAAAACGTCTGCGTGGGGTTTTCGAAATGCTGAAACGGAGAGAGAAGAGAAGGACCGGACCCACATCCGGAGCAACAAAGACGACAGACAGATCCAGAACGACACGTATTTTTTTTTTGAAAAACTGAATATGGCTGTATTCATGGTAGCGTCGAACCCTCCAGAGGGACCGAGAAAAAGGATTGACCAGGGGTGACTGTCATGCACTCTGTAATTTATCAAATTTCACCATCATATTGCAAGAAAAATGCAACTTTATTTGGTTAATAATAGTTTGGTGTCTTTAAATATGCTAATTAATTAAAGTTTGTTAAATGAATTGTTATTAATGTTAGTAACCGGTGAATGCCGGACGAAAAAGATGTTTCACAGTAATGTTATTTTTGTTACTTCGTAAGTTCCTAAATCCAATTGGTGTTGAAATTAAGAAAAACTGATTGTTTTATATTTTATTATGTTGGAAGATTCTGTACTGTGTACTTTTAAGTTACAGTTGAATGTGAAGAATCTTAAGAACTGGTAAGTGAATAACCGCTTGAGTTCGTGAGACAGTAAATTTACATGAAAGGTTAAAGACCCTTTATTATTCAGGTTTAACAGAACTCAGGCTTCGAGATTTACAATAAAGCCGCCACTCGGGCTTGAACTCAAAAACTAAGAAATTAACTTAACTAAAAAGATATAGCGTGCTATCAAGATTAATAGATTGGCCCTTTAAGCGGATAACAGCGAAGTTTCAAGGGCCTAAAGTATGCGAGCGTAAAATAGGTTAGAGACTGTCTAAAAAAGGCTACGCGTGCTATCAGAATCAGGTTTCTCTCTAACGAAGTCAGTAGAACTTCGTGGTTAAATACTTCTCCTCAATTTGCATTCAAACGCGATTCTAAAAATACATTCTGGCCGGAAGTTGCAAGCTTGAAATTAAGAAGCGATAGGAAAGTAATTCAAACTTTAACTGTTAGAGAAATTAACATAATCTTTACAATATTAATTTCAGTTTTACCAACACAGCAAACAGTCTGCTATTAGTATATGAAAGTTCATGGTAAATGTGGTGAACCCACTGATTTGGTGAATTTTAAATGAAATAGTCAGGTATGTTGTGTTTTTGTGCCCTTTCTTCAGAACTAAAGTGTAGTTTCGCCACCTTCGCAGAAGAAAACCTCTTTATAAATCTTATATAATCTCTCTTAATAAATATTTGAGATTTAACTTTACTTAACTTGTTTGTTTTATTTACTAGAATACACTAGACTAATTTAACTTATACTGCAAATTGTGTTTTTACTAATATCATATGTTTTCTATTTTATGTTATACAAGGTTACAGCAATATTAGTGATAATAAATATGTGTCTTCATACACCTTCTTACATATCTTGATACACCCAAGTTTTGATCAATGAGTATATTATCACATTTGTTTATGGCGCCAGTAATTTTCATAAGTAACATAGTTATAAACATAATAGTTTTCTGATGCCTTATTCATGTTCGTTTTCAATGGAAATAAAAATAATGTAAACTCGGGTTTCAAATAAAAATCTTGAAAACTTTGCAACACCATAATTGGAGTGTCTTCGCGCCGCGTAAAATTGCTTCGGGAGTCGCAAAAGCACGCAGGCTGCGAGTTTAACATCCCTGCCTTAAGGGATTTTGGTAGCTTCAACTTTTGTCTTCAGATCGTCTAGTGGTCTTGGATGGTCAATCCGAGTGCTTTTTTAATAACAAGTTTGCAGATGTCTTTCACAGATTTGTCAGGAGCTGGCTTCTATCACCTGAAGAATCAGAGACAACGAGTTCCTTCGCATTTGAAGTGACAGAAATTTTGCAATGTTTCATATATACATCTGATTGATGAAACCTACTTTAAGCGTATCGTGTCCTGAAGGCGGTTTTTTTCTACAAAATTTATACTACTAGATAACTGGATAATATTCATTAACGCTAATTACGACAGAAGATGTCCAAAAACATCAAGCAGGCTTAACAACACTGGCTTGCACTCTTTAACATCAACTTTATATTCATTAGGGGCCAGCGGCCAAGCGGTAAAGTCACTGAACAGTGGTAGTTCGGTCCGGGGTTCTAATCCCGGCAAACGGGCTGGCTGCACGAGCGTTTCCATGTGTATAACGTACATACGAGGTAGTTTTCCTTAGAAAGTCTTCCACGAAGGCATCCCTTCCCTTCGGCAGATAGCCGTCGTGTACTTTGACATAATTAAATAAACCAAACAAAATTATATTCATTAGAACTACTAGCAAGTCCACGATGCAAACGAGTTGAAAATCCGATAAAACTCGAATCACTCCACAGAAAGAATGTCTAATCCAAATTAAGCAAGAAATTCTCAAGAGAGGAATATAATTATTTCCAAAAAAATGTACCAAGTAACCTATATACTGTTCATCAACAACAGTAACAAAATTTAATTTTTTAAGCTTTGTGTTCCCGTTATTGCATAAAAGCCTTTAAAAATGTAATTTTATTTCTTTTTCTGCTGAAATAAAATGTCTTCAAAATCTTTTCCACTCATCTAAAAATAGCTGAAATAAATAAATTGGTATACAAAATCTGTAAACTAATTTAGATAGTTTTCTTAAAAATTGTTCTCAGCTCGAAAAATTGGGAGAAACTAATCATATTGTTAACTCGTAGTGCAAAATGATTAATTATTAGAGAAACAGTATTTTCTTTTGGGTGAACGGTAAGCCGCCAATAATATGATAATAAATATGATTATAAAACTGACATAAATATCACTTAATAAAACTGACACAAGAATATGAAATGACAATAAAAATATGATTTAATAAAACTGACACAAGAGACGGTAAAATAAGAACGAGTAAATGAATCAAAATAAAACATTTATTGGAAGAAATGAGAAACATGAACAGTTCTCTCAATCCGAGGTTAAAAAAGCTTATCTATAATTGTCAAAACTTCGATAAAATACGTATGTACAATTTTGGAGATTTATGTCCGGTACGGACTTCCATACTTCTGTTTCTGTAAAGAAAATGACATCAGGCTCCCACTCATCGGCATGTGATGAAAGTAGAAAATTTGATAACTGTATTTAATGATGGTAAGGCTTCAATGAAGGTCTGGGAATACCTAAAATGAAAACGATAAAACTGCATTATGATTTCAGAGGTAAACAATTTTTAACAGAAAAAAATGGTAAAATTTCATTTAGCCGAAGTAATTAAAGGTAAGCCAATTTGACTAACATCATCTCGCTCCACATAACACTATTCTGCAACAAAATTCCATCAAACTTATGGGCTTTTTGTGTCATTTAGACTCATTTATTTTGAAAATGAGCCTTTAAATGCTTTATCACACTCTAGTTTGAGAAATAAATTTTTACTTTTTTCAACGGAAAAAAAATCGAATTTTTTAAACTATTATAAATTTTTATCATACGTCAGTTAAAAATATGTCATTATAGGTTGTTATGTAGGATGAGGCAAATAAAAGTTATGCGAAGTAGAAAGGTTAAAGCAGCAAAGTGACGAGAATTACATGTAAAGCTTGTACCAACGAGTTACAGCAACAATCTGTATGGGGCTTAGGACCGCATTCACGAAGTGTTCTTTTTTCAAAGTTATCAGAAAAGACAAGGCGGACTTTATCAAAGGTGCTCATCTGGTCACCATACTTCTCAGAATGTAATTATTATTCCTGTGAAACATAGAAATCAAAAGCGAACTGCACAAATTTTCTCGCTCTCCAGGAATGGCAGCAATGCTTCTAATTAATATTAGCTCTGCGATTGACACTGTCTCACAAAATCCCTCACCATTTATTGCACTTTTTGAAATCTATACTCAGAGGCCTCTGCTGTGGATGAGAAAGCATCACGAACAGGGTATGTATTTTAAGACGCTTAGAACCTAGTCGTTCGCCGTACTGAAACGGGCGGATTTAGGATGGCGAACGATCAGTGGGTTCACAAATGCTTACATTGTTGAGAAGACACGCTTATCCAAAACTGAGATGTTACCAGGTTGTCTGGAAAATAATGCAGGCTTTTGAAATTGTTTATGTTTCCTGTATATTTTTAGGAACAAAACTATTTTGAATCTCTATTTTCGCTCTATATTTCTATATTAATCATTTTGTTCCAAAATTATTAAAAAAATATTTACTAGGTGTTTATGTTTAGATGTCAAAACGGGATTTTCTGCAAACTTACTTTTATGAGTACAAGCTAGGCACAGGCTGCTCGAAATGTCAACGAAGTATTGCGGTGTGAAAAATGCTAATGAAACGGTGATAACAAAAGTTTCGTCTTGGAGAATTTGACCTGGAAGATCAAGAGCATCGTGGACGCTCTTCAGCTGTTGATGACGATGATTTGAAGACTTTAGTTGAAACAAACCCGTACATAACTGTTCGAGAGCTTGGCGTAAGCAAAACAACGATTTCTGATCACATGAATCATATAGGAAAGTCAAAAGAAGCTCGATAAGTGGGTGCCTCAATTGAGCGAAAATAAAAAAAAAAAATCTCCGTTTTGAAGTGTCGTCTGCTTTTCTTCTCCGCAACAAAAACGACCTTTTCCTTGATCGAATTGTTACGTGCGATGAAAAATAGATTTTCTCCAACAAATGGCGACACTCAGCTCAGTGGTTGGACCGCGGTCAGAAACCACAAACACTTTCCAAAGCCAAATTTGCACCAAGAGAAAATCACGGTGACTGTTTGGTGGTCTGAGGCCGATCTCATCCACTAAAGCTTCCTAAATCTGGGAGAAACGATTACAGCAGATAAGTACTGTCAGCAAATCAACGAAATGCACCAAAAATGCAACGCATGTCTCGTCATTGGTCAAAGAAAGCGGCCATTCTTCTCCATGACGATGCCGCCGCACGTCGTGCAACTGACCCTACGAATTGGACGAATTGGGATACGAGCTCTCCCTCTTTCCCATATCGGGACGTCTCCCGACCGTTTACCCTTTTTAAACATCTGTACTCTGCAAAGAAATACTCAAAACAAGAAGAGGTTCGCCTTGACAACTTTATCGCTCAGACTCCAATTTATTCTCCGGCATAAATAAACTTATTGGCAAAAATGCATCGATTCGGCTGCTGCTTATTTTGATTAATAAAATTGTTTTTGAGTTGAGTTATGATACTATATAGGTAGAAAACCTGCATTATTTTCCGGACAACCTAATAATTATGCCGATTGGTTGAATACTATAATTTCCTTTAGCTAATTTCTTATTTACTTAGAGCTCATTACCTGGTTTGCTTGAACAATTATATAGCGTACTATATTTCGGTTACATAGCTGTTTAATTCTGAGTATTAAAATATAATAGGTACAGTTTATAATCGGAATATGGCAGGGTTGTTGCTTGTCATCGCATATTCTTGGCTATTATATTATAAGGTTGGGACCCGAAAGGTATTTTCTCCCGCCTTCCTAGCGTGCCCTCGTGGTGTAGTGGTTCTGCACGCTGGGCCGATATTTCAGACGCCCGTGGTTCGATTCCCGGCGAAGGCGATTGCTCATTTTTCATCTCTCCGGCTTTTCCAGTTAACTTAATGTCTCTACAATATAACCCATTACAAAACCAGAGGTCGAATTTTAGTCTACCAGATGGGCCAGGCTATTCTTGTATAAGTCCACCTTGCCGGTTAAAGTTCGGGTCAGTGTAATATTTCGAGACCCTACAGTTGAATCTGTCGAACTCGCTCCTGGGCCAAAAAGGGTCTTCCCCTTTTTGGCTTTTTACATATGATATTAGTAAATTCATTTTCATCCATCCAAGAGAAAATCTTTCACTTACCCATCCATCCATCTGTATCCATCACAAGACCTTTGTTCTCGTAGGCATGGTGAAGCACTGTCTCTGCTGTACATGAAGCTCTGTGCTGTACTTCCACACGATCGTCGTACAGATAACTGTTCTGACTGAGGGGCCTTTGCGATCCTCGACTGCTCATACTGATGGGCAAAGTCATCGTCTCGGGATCAGATGAAAAAGAAGGCCGCCGTTTTTTTCCTTCAAGTAGATAGTAAACATATCAATATTCTTTTGCTTACAAATCAGCTAAGAACATATCACAAACTCTCAATCAATCAGTATCTCATATCTTATAAAAGCACATATCACAACTAAATACACTGGCCATTGTAAATTAAGGGAAGTAGTCTTCATGATTAATTTCAATATAACATGACATGAATCAAAGGCATCCTAAATGACAGCAGCTCCTCCGTAAGACTACCATATAGGAATAATTCATTTCATTCTTATTTATTCCGTTAAAATAAATGCGAAAAATACATTACCATAGTAATCCTCTTTCAGAATCCAAATTCGAAATTTAAACTTTACTGAATCAATGAAATGCTGAAGAAACTTTATCTACTTGATAGAGAAAAAACTATTTCTATTTGGAAACAGACATCACTTTAGTTAGCCAGCAACAAATTTATTCAAAGCAGGCTGTTTGATCTTATATCCTGTGACCTTTAATAAATATGAACGTGTTCATGCAAAATGAGAGTAAAAAGTTTCCTGGTAAAATTTACTGGACTTCTGAAACAGGCAGGAAAATTCATCTCGATAAGCTGTATGGAGTCGCCATCTGTTCTCTGTCACAACATTGCATAACATAACATAACAGACATTGCATAAAAGTAGAAAATTTGAATGCATAAAATATATTGCATCTAAGCGCCATATACTTATACGGAAACTTTGATCTTTAATATGTTGACATCACTGCCAGAATTTGGTTTATTTATAAAGGTAATTATTAATTAAAAAATTAAAACAAAATAATACTTATCAGTTGCAAAACAGTAATTACTGTTACATATATTTAGATATTTTTTAAATGACATTACTGCTTTGCGGTGAAAGTTTTCACGAAACTTGTTAGTGTAAGTGCCAGTCCTAGAGACTTGAAATTTTACGATTTACTATTTCCCCTAAATTTTTCGTTCTTCATGATAAAATTAGAACTCATTTATACTGTAAGTGTTATAAATCAAAAGAAATCTAGTTGCAAAATAGATCTAAAAAAAGAAAACACAAGCACAAAAACAACAACAACAAAAAAAAAAAAAAAAGGAGTAATACTAATAGAAATGTTTAATAAGAAAACTTGCTTGGAACTCAAAAAGTGTTTTTAAGTTGAAGATTCCAGCTCTTTCATAGAGATTTTAACACTTAAGAGAAATCTCAGAAATATATTCGTAAATATATTTTTGACACTTGACATCAGTATCTTAATTTATTCTATTTTACTTTGTACCCTTTTTACTTCCTTTGTACGATGTTAAAAAGGAAATACTGTAATCGCGAAAAGTTTCAAGCATCATATTTCAACGCAAATATCCATTTTTACAAGTTTATATGTTTCAAGCATCATATTTCAAAGCAAATATGGAGGATTCAGAGAATAAGGCATGAAGTCTGAATCAAAGGGCTACAAAGGAGGAAAAAGAATATCGAATGCAATATAACGATGTTTTTCCGTGACATCTCTACGTAAAGACAGAATAACGTACGTATCTTGTATAACTCAAAAACGAGTAGTCTCAAAACGTTGAAATTTTGTATATAGGACTGCTATAAAATGTAGACGTGCACCTCCTATTTTAGTTGCAATCCACCGCACCAAAAAGTATATAAATATATGTATATATTTACATCCACTCTGTTACTCGGCTCAGTGATCTCAGTTGCTTATTCTTATATGTTCGTAAATTGTGCATTTTTTGCTTAAAATGATTGAATATGTTCTTCTTATCTTCGGTTAATTTTTATGCCTTTAGAAATCTGCAAGCAATATTGTAGATTATCAACAATTTAAAGCTGTTTAGTGCAGTTAAGCCTATTTTAAATAACAGGCGGAATGGTTTTTACATTTGAAACTTGGCAGAATAGTGATTTGTTGCCAATCTAGAGAACTAAGCTTCGCAACAACAAACATAACGCCTTCTTTTATTATCGTGAATTAAATCATGATTAATCTATTCTGGAATTTATTCGAGGAAATAAGTGTTTAAGATTTACTTTCTTAATTTTTAATATAGATATTTTAAGTTTTTATGTATTTTAGCCTTGTAGAGAAGTGAGGATTGAATTAATTGAACGAGAAATGCTGACTCGTCCATGAAAAACTGTTTCTTTCTCTTTTTGGTTTGTTTAATTTCTTTTATACATCGTTTTAGATTTATTATAACATTTAAGTAGAACATAGTTTTAGATTTATTATCATATTTAAGTAGGGAAAGATTAAATGATTCTTCAGATGGTATAAATTTTGTGCATTCTGAGTTATAAAATGAATGAAATGCAACGCTGTTAAGGAAACTTAATGTAGCATCAGAATGTCACTATGGTAAACAAATATAGTGAATTTTAAAGAGTGCATTTATTCTAGTGTGGTTTATATGCTATCGACGAAGTAGATTTAATTCAATTCAATAAGTTTAAATGAAACGCAAGAAAAAAATGCGTATAATTTAATATTCCGTACAAGGAAGTCATGTGGTGTGCACATCAGATTTTTTATATTTTACTTAAGACAGCTTTGTTTGCAGGAGACATTTTATAAGACACTTACCAGCAAGCCCTTCATAATCAGGAGGTGGAATAGGGGGGTGTAAATCCTTGGTTGTCCTCGTGGAACTTTCAGTATCGTATGCATCATATGGAGGATTCAGAGAATAAGGCATGAAGTCTGAATCAAAGGGCTACAAAGGAGGAAAAAGAATATTTGCGTCATTAATAACAATACTTTTTTATTATGTAAAAGTAACCAGTGTCTTTATTCTGTGTAAAGATCGCACTAATAAAGACACAAATACTATCATTGTTTTTCTGAGATTATTTTAAGTTTTAAACTTGCGTCTGTTGGTTCAGAAACTGGCTGCTTTCTTTCTTTCTTTGCATCAGTCCCCTGACGAGGATGCAACGAAAGGTGAACACTGCCCCCAAAAAGGACAGTTCTACATTTCCCGTTCTATTGTGCCCATTAATGAAATTCAAATTGCGTTTTTCATGTCTCGAAAGCGCGACTTAGGATATATTAGATTTATATACAGCATTGTTCTAACATAAGTATTTTGACACAAAATGGAACTTTTTCTGAAATAACATACAAATTTTTTCCCGTTTAATTTAAGGCCCACCAGCGGCCGAGCGGTAAAGACGCTGAACACTGGTAGTTCGGTCCGAGGTTCGAATCCCGCGAACGGGCTGGCTGCATGGGCGTTTTCGTGGTTTTTCCCATGTGTAACGTGTATACGAGCCAGTTTCCCTTAGAAAGTCCTCCACGAAGGCATCCCTCCCCTTTAGGCAGATAGCCCTCGTGTGCTTTGCCATAACTCAATAATCCACTAATAATCCGTTTAATTTAATTTCGATTATACGATTCAAATTATGCCTAAATATTAAATTTTCTAAAATTTGGTGCGAAATTTACGAAGAAATTGAAAAGTTGGTGCATTTTTTCAAGTTTGCGCCAAGAATAAAATCACTTGGCGAACTCCTTAATATATGGCAACCTATTTTCCTTTCCCTTCCATTGTGCACGTGCGGAAAAAAAGTCACTATAGTTTCTAATTTCAGATAATTTTAACAAAGTGCCTAAACCGCATTTGAAGTTATTATCGCTTTCAACAAATATGCCAAATTTCAAAATGCGCCAATATATAAATTCACGTACATCTTAAAAAATTTTGAAAAAAAATTCTAATTTTTTGCAGGTATGCTTAGAAATGCATCTACTTTAAGATGATGGAAAAAATTTTATAGGTTATGATTTAAAATGTTTTTTGAATAATTTATAAAAATTATTTAAAAATATAAATTTTAAAAATAAATCATAAAAAAATTTCGAATGTTTTTTTAAAATGAACCTAAATTTCGAAATGTGAAAGGAAGAATCAAGTAAGTTTAATAAAAAAAGAGATACTGATAAATATATACCAAACTCAATTAACATTGAGGAGCTAAAATTTTGAGAGCTAATTTTTGAAAAACTACTCGTGGGATTTTTAAAAAACTTAGCCTTTTGGCGTAATTTGAGTCGTAGAATTGAAATACGGAAAACAGTTGGCATGTTATATAAAAAAAAGTCCGATTTTGTGTCAAAATAGCTATATTAGAACAATGCTACATATATACCGATAATACATATCCTAAGTCGCGCTTTCGAGACATGAAAAACGCAAGCTGAATTTCTTCAGTCGGTCCAGTAGAACGGGAGATAGAGATATAGAACTGTCTCTCTCTTTTTTTTTTTTTTTTGGTGCAGTGTATATCTCCCTTTGTTTACATGTTTTGCCTCCTTTTTCTTGTGGCTTCCAAAAGTGTGCTTCTGGATTTTTTGTTTTCCCATGTATTTTCCGAACTGAATGAAATAAATTTTAAGCATGTTATTTAATTTATTTTGCATTATTAGCCCACTTGTTGCTGCTTTCAGAGCTCAAATGGATTAGGTTTTGAACTGCTTTTTACTTTGTATTTATTCTTATATATATAAGAAAGCAAAGAATAACATATAAAAATAATAAAAACCATTAAAGTGGTGCAATTTGCTGTAATATTTATGTGTAAAAGAAGGAAAAAATAAGAAGTTTAATGTTTTATTAGTAGACACCTATCTACCCCAAAAGGAATTTTTCTCAAATCATTAAAATGGAATAATTCCTTATGACTTTTTTTCCAAGCAGCAGCCTGAAGCCTTATCAATGAAGGCGGAAATATCTGTTTCGGCTATTTTTTTTTTTTTTTTTTTTTTTGTATGACCTCTGTATGTACGGACAGAATAAAGGATTCTTTATTCCAAAACAAGTTGTAAAATGATTCAAAATGGATTTTTTTTTATTTGACGTGTGTACGTATACACTGTCTACCAATAAGTATTTGGGCACCTGTGACAGAAAAGAAAAAAAAAACAACAGTCATTTTCAATAGTAAGTAGAGCCACCATGAGTGGCAATTACAGCCTCAACTCTCCAGGCCATGCTTTCCACAAGTTCTTGTATGACGACTTTCCACAAGTTCTTGTATTCCACAAGTTCTTCAGGACGACTCCGGCAGCTGAAAGTAACATGGGTCCAACCCGTAAAACTGCCACACGTAGGAAGCACACTCTCATCCAAAATAGTTCATTACGCGTCGGCGTTTTTACCATGAATTTGGACCAAGGTTTCAATCCATAGCAGAAGAAGCCCACTTTTTCTCATTAATATGCAAATTTTAACATGAATTTCGTTTTTTAAAAGCAAAACTATCTGGAATTTTCACATATTCGGAATTCAGTAATTTTGTGAGATTTCCGAGTAGTCAAGATTTTACTGTACTTTACATGGAATATCTTTAGAATTCGCGATAAAGTGTTAAATGCTGCCATACTTTTTTAATATTTGCTATAAAGTAATACATAATGATAACATTCGGTGCAAAATTTGAAAAGTGATACGGACAAAAAACTGTGAATAAGGCATGAATTGAGACATATTCTGAGGATTGAGACTAATAGCACCTCTTGTGCTAAAAGAAAATGACGTATGCATGTTTATATTCATGCCCTCATCTCTCGCAGCTAAGAATGTACCACTATTATCGCCACCTTGAATCAACAGGCAATTTAAAAGCAATTTTGATTTTGACAATCGTAGATACCATCCCACTCCACTCAGCATACGACATGCAGTAACCAAACTCAGGATACACATGCCGTATTACTTTTAAACAATCTCTATTTTTTTATCTCCATGGTAATCGTAACAATTGTTTTTTGCTGCTTGAATCTTCTCATTAAATTTCCTAAGACGCATTGTTAATGAATTTACAAAACTTTACGGAAATGCATTAATGCGAAAAAATACAAAATCACTTGAAAATTAAGAGTTGTTCTACGGGTTGTTTACTAAATAGTTGCAACAGGCATACTGATGCTCATGGGCATTGTACCATAGTATCGAAAGAGGTAAACAAGTATAGTGCGCGCAGTCGTAATTCATCGAACTCGAGGAATATAGAAAACAATAATTTTCACATTCCTACAGGATGCTTACTAAGTTGGATGTATTTTAAAGCGGATGTATACTGAGATATGACTGCCTTATTCCTGTTCAAAGACCTTATTCATTTTTTGTGGCAAACTGAGTTTTCAAGCATTCTCCACTCCCTCGACTGATTATTTCTGTATACGGTGCTGTAGAGAACTTTTATTCTAAATTCCCCTTCTCAGTTTAATTGATTTCTGGTATAGTGTACCTTTAATAAGAACTTCTACACTTACCATTCTCTTGTTTTTGAGCATTTCGATTTCTTTAACTCTTTGGGCAACAAAGACACACAACGCAATCTGTAAAAGGATTAAAAATGGTTAGAATCCACATAAAACCAGGTACAGAAAAAAAAACTGTATGTTTTGTATAGCTGTTACAGCAATGCAATAATTTCAAATAAAATTAATATTTCGGTTTAAAAGTTTACGATAAGTTCACCAATATAGAAATATTACTAATTACTATATATACAATAGAAACTGTTTATATGAACTGATGCTATTCTGAATAATAATTTTATTAAAAATTTTTTTTTTTTTACGGTTACTTGTGGTTAAGCTTACTTTCATAAAAAGTAGAAATGGCGCTACTTTTTGTGCCCACCATTTTTAACGATGTTACACTTAAAAAAAGCATAAAAACTTCCATGTTAAAATTTTTTTCAAAATATCCCACAAAATTTAAATTACACGAGGAAAATAATATGTATTTGTAATTACGTAAATTTTTTATTTGGCAAGAGTAAATTTTTCCCCATTATTTTTGACGGCCATATAAACGCCATCCAGAATGGCAAAAATTGACCTGAGATAATACTCCAAGTATTTTGTTAACAGTTTGCTGAAATATTCCATGTCTTCGTTACAAGCAATTGATTCATTTTTAGAGACAATTGTTAATACAGTGCAAACTTTAATTGTCATAATCTCCCAAATAACAGGATTTCTTAAAAGATCATTTCAGAGTTTACATAGCTCACTATACTTATACACTGCGATTACTTGTTCATGTTGAAGAACATGAAATAAGGAGAAAATAAATAAATAAAAAATAGAGATAACATTTACCAATCAATCACAATCCCGTTTGGAATAAAAGGGTTTTACTGTAATTAAAATTCTGAATCTTCCAACCTTCCTGAAACAATGAATTACCTAAACTCCTGGCACAGTGGTTTAGTTTATTTGACAACTACAAAGCGTGAACGGCTATCAGACTAAGGGCAGAGATGCCTTTGTGGAGGACTTTATAAGAGCAATTAGCTCATATCCATGCTGCACATGCGGAAAACCATGAAATCGCCTGACATAAAACCAGATCGACCTACCACTGTTAAGCGACTTTAACACTCGTTTCTGTGGGCATCTGACAGATTAAATGAATAAAATAATTAGCTATTTGATGCATTTAATTAAAGCAAGAAAACAAGAGACTTTTGACACTGAATATATTCTGTAAATATTGTTTTGAGTTTTTTTTTAATTCGAAAGTTTTTGGCTTCTGAAATGACTAATATTTTTTTTATCACACCCACTATATTTTCTAGAGTATTTCACTAAATTTTCTCTTATTTCTTAATATGGCTATTACTATTCCACATATAAAATAATACGTAAAGGAATATTACTGAATTCATATGCGTGGTTCCTACTTTGTTTACATGTACATAGTTTCACATTTTATTTTTAAAAACAATAAGATCTATCTTAACACACTTACCATACATTGTGACAATGTAGTACAAATTTCATATCTTCCAATTCTTTTTTTGCAGAATTGCGACCAAAATAAAAAAAAGTAAGTTTTGCACACTAGTGTATTGCATTCAGGAACTTCGTGGTTAAGCACTGAAAGAGCCCTCTAACAACGAGACAAATTCATACCAAATTTTGACACCATAATTTTTGACTATTTTCAAACTAATGTGCACGAGTTTCTTTTATTTGAAATAAAAATTAATCTGCTGCTTTTTAATAAAATGGCAAAGATATCTGCAGTTTTAGGAGAAGGTATCAACAGTGCTTACGTTTGTTATCCAAATTATAGGTCCTCCTCTCGAAAACAAAACGGCGCAGAAGACGAAAAGATTATCGAAGAATGATATTTCAAAATCTCCGCTTTCAACGCTTTTCTAAAAAGAGAAAAAATAACAATTCTGTTGATCAGAAGAATTTATTTCATTTATATGACAATTTCAGAAAATGACCAGCATAATAACTACATAAATATAGGAAATAATTGAGTACGATTAGTTTCTGCGTATGGAAATATAACAATAAAAAATTCAAATGAAAAATTAAGAGGATTTGTGAATATGGCACAGCAAATAAAAGCTATTGTACACAACAAGGGTTCTCAAGCAGGGAGGAATTCCCCTCTAAGGGGGAATTTTATAGTTTCAGGAAGTAATGCAGGTAGTCTTTTATTTGCCTCTTAAGTATTTAGTTTTATTTCATTTATTACTACAAACTACTTTTATTCAAGTTTTGGCATTTATCAACATTTTCTGTATTTATCTTATTTAATTTACAAAATACAGTAAAGAAAAATATAAATTAAAATAAATTCATAAGTATTTTTCGAGTTTTAGAAAGGAGAGGGGGGAATGGTGGTTTAGCAGCAATGAAAGGGATGTATGGAGCAAAAACGGTTGACGAACCCTAAATATAATAAGAGGGAAAACAAGACAATCTTCAAAAAGAGCTTATAGACAGAGCATACATATTTTACACAGCAATGTTGCAGATGCTCATGAAAATTATTAGATATGTTACAGATTATATGAAATTTAAAGTATGTTATTCAGACAGCTTATTAAAGACAAAGATTAAAAATGAGAAAAATTACACTTATTGCTCTTGAATTACTCACGTTTTAATCCAACACAGTTTTTTAAATGTGAAAAATATAGATACTGCTTGTATATTACGCACGAGGGTTGGAACTTTAATGGTGACAACTACTTATTTACGAATGACATAAAAGTGATACCTCTGCGAAATTCTTAATGTCCTTCGATATAATTAGGAGCACTGTGCACGACCCGCTGTTATGAATAAAAAAGACAGTATATCTGTAGCAATGCCTACTCTGTTAATAGTTCGGATGGAACAATCTGTCGTTTGAAAAAATTCTAAAGTACTTCAGGAGTAAATATCATTACTTCGTGGTATTATTTCCTTCATCTTAGGAATTTAATCATAGTCACTTGAGCTTAAGTTCAAGGAGAATGATAGATGACATTGCGCCGCTACTTGGCTCCACTGAGCGAATAAATCAACCATAGTTGTACCACATGTGTACAAGCACTATGTTACAAAACAATGGGAGGACTTTTCAGAAAGTGCTGCTAGTTCTTTTGCACAGCTGATCAATCGTCGAGTTTAAAAAATAAACAATATTTCACACTGATGTCGTTTGTTCTTGAAGTTCAACAGGCGTTACCCACAGGGCCATCACACGAGTGCCATCCTGCCCGAGAATGACCATAACAATAAAACTAGGATCATCTTACAAATTTTTGATTTTCATTTTGACCCATTATGCTGTCACCACTTGTTGAATTGAAGAACTGGGAAATAAAATATGGCAAAAAGAGTGGGACCACACTTAATAAGGCAGACATGTTCGTCAAATAATATCAAAAGTAAATAATCTAGCAAATTTCAATAACTCGTATATTAAAGGCTGCTATCTAAGAGGCTATGGCCCCTGCACCATAAATTTTTATTCAGGAAAAATGTCCAACAGAGAGATGTGCATTTGTAGGGAAAGGAGAGTCTCTGATCATTACATATTCACTTGCAATCTGATAAAGGACGACCATATTAGACATCCATCAACAAATATGGAAGCATTTAAAAATGGACGCCATAAAAGCAAAGTATGTAAAAAACAAAATATGCAAATTAATTCAATACCAAGTCACTTAAGAAGATAGCAGTCTAACACAGAAATTACTTCAAACTAACACATATATGATTCAAAAACATACTAATGATTAATGTGTACACAAAATTCAAGTTTCAATAAAATGAGACTCCTCAGATAGGGTATTCCACAGGCTCCTGGCGGTTCGCGAGGTGGAAATGAGAATTGAATTCGCACTAATGTGTGGCGCCTGGCTCTCGTGGCCTCCTGATGGATGTCATTTCTCTTACCACTGGCTAGGCTCAGCGATACCTCAACAGTACTACGCAGCTGCTGGTCTAGCTTCATGTTATGTTATATGAAGTCACCACTTGTTCCAGTATCATTTCAGTTTCGGTTCGTTGAGTCTGACCTACGTTCAAATCTGGACTTATGCAGCCTAATCATACAATGTAAGATAGCTTCCCCTTCATACTCGTAGCGTTTCAAGAAGGGTTTGAGTAGCATCTTATGGATAATTACTTTTGCTTTCCCAACAGCTCTGTTGTTGTTTGAAGAACATAATAATTCTACAAATTTGAACTGACGAGTAGCACCAGATTTTATTCTCCTCACGGTATATGCACATAGCATTGAAAGAAACCTATTTCTTGTGAAGTTGATTAAGTTTTAAATTTAATATGTGGGATAAGTGAGAAGCTTTGGTTCCGTTTCCCGACTAAAAACAGCAGTGTTGCCACTATTCAAGTTCCAGTCCATGTATATTTTCAGAACAGTTATTTTCAGAAATCTAACACGATGGGAGGGCTTGGCTTATCAATGAATATATAATAAAAAAATTATGGACTCTTTTCGGAACATTTTTCTTGATGAACCTTAACACAGGAACTCAATACAGCATTACAAATCCGCATAGCAGCAATTGAAACTTAGATTAGGCATTTTAGTTGATTAAGATAGAAGTTTTAAAAAAACAAATTATCAACGCAAATATTGGAAAATGTTTTTATCAGGTTGAATATTTAAAAATTACTTTTTTCAGTGGATTTCATGAAAAAAAATTTAGTCAAACTTCAGAAAAGGGACTTTCAGTACTTACTATAGCTCCAAATATAAAATACACTGTTGCTGCTATGTCAGTCACAGTTATGACAACAGTTGTGCCTATCCACGGTTTCAACATGTCTCTGCATCTCTCCTGAAAGAAAAAATAGCGATGAAAAAACATGTGAAAATATTCTAATGCTTACCTTTGATAGCCAGCGGTAACTAAGTAACTATTTGTTGCCTTCTCATTCTGTCACAGTGAAACACACTATGTTCTATCTGTTGATGTGGAAGGCGATGTGACATGCTTCAAGAGTGTTTTACTCTCCAGGGGCGAATAGTACTCTAGATGAAAGTCTGTCCGCCTCATTCTTTTTGAAAAGAGAATTAATGGCCCTTTGAGCTCTCTCAACATACCACGTAGGGGGGGGGAAGCTGAACAAATCGATGTATAATGAGACTAGTTCGCCATGCAGCCTGTTCGGATGATTGAACCAGGAACTCTGTTCATATATATCTAGTATACCCCCAGGGCCGAGACCGACGGAGTACAGATCTCAGCCAGTAAAATAAAGCGACAACGGGATATGCAAAGTTAAGGAATCAGACATCCGTTACTTTGTATATACTTGGATGTTATTAAGTGGATTATTTTAGAGCAGCTTTACAAAATACGAGCAGATCAAAGCTTGCTATAAACTGACAACCTCTTATAACAGAAATGAATAAGATTCTAGCGGCAATACCTGAAACTTCTGATATCAAGAGCAATCTTTTATACCTAAGACAAATAGGACTGCTTGAAAGTAATGACAATATGGAAGATTTGTACGATTTTATGTTAATAAAAAATTACTACGATTTGAACCTTTACTTCATTTACGATTTGAACTTCTTTCTGTAGTCCTCACCAGAATGAATATTAGTTGTTGAATATTTAAGACAACAGTTTGAATGTTCAGTCAATTAAAGCTTCTGGTTACGTCGCCTTGCAGTTACATACCACCTCCAGCTCTGCCAAATACTTATTCCAAATTTATCCAACTCTCTAGCTGACGTTTAAATACATACCATTATTTACTTGAGCATGCTAAAGTAATCTGTTTTGGGTGCTATCTAAATCTGAATTTAACATTATCTCACATTATTTTAAATACTTGCAAATAGCGGAGGTTCTTTTGCAGAACAAGTAGTGCTTCTGTTCATTTAAAAAGTTCAATAAAAGCGTTATTTTAAACATTCTTATCATTTGAATTCAGGCTGGAGCAATAACTCATTGTCAGTCTAGCAGGGTCTGAAGGATACTGAGTCAAGCTTCTACACAAAAGAAAACCTACAAATTATACTACTCAGATGCAAAATCTTTTCTGTCCAGTTGGTGGTATTCTAGATAACTCAGCCCCATTCTACTCTGAAATTAGCTTAAACGTGTTTATCATTCACACTGTCAAAATGTGTTTAACCAAACGAGAATTACAAATCAATACTGTAATTAGGACAGCTAAAAAAGCTTGAAAAATTGGAAAACCAGGAAGTTATCATGCGAAAACTGGGAGTTTTCGGAAGGATTTTATGCTGCTCAGCGATCTTGTTTCAATACAACTCCAAACTGATTTACATTCAATTTACAACGTTTGATTCAAGTTCCTGAATTATTGCTGATTCCGATGCAAACTATATTAATTGAATATTTCAAATTTTATATCTTTTGATAAATTCTATTTTATGATTTTCTTTCATACAGAAAAAAATAATGAGTTGTAAAGGAAAGCTTTTATTTAACAGAGCAATTTTAAATATGAAAAAAACAAAATAATTAATATACATATTATGACGTGGATGACTTTATTAATGCATCATTTATTGATGTAAAACAAAACAATGATTGAATCTTTATATGAAGTTCTATAGATGTCTACATCAGATTAAGACAATCCAGATCCAATAAATTTGATAAGAGAAACTTGTTGAAAGTCTCAGTCGACGGGGAAATAGGATTAAGATTACTCAATTATGGCAAAGCACACGAGGGCTATATGACTAAAGGGAGGGATGCTTTCGTGGAGGACTTTCTAAGGGAAACTGCCTCGTATACACATATGGAAAACCACGAAAACGCCCATGCAGCCAGCCCGTTCGCGGGATTCGAACCTCGGACCGAACTACCTGTGTTCAGCGTCTTTACCTCTCGCCCGTTGGTGGGCCGACGGGGAAATAGAATTTGCGCAATTTTTAAGTTTCATTAATCGAAAAGATTTCATTTATTGCGGGGAAAACATTTTCCTTAGACTAAAAATTAAAAACCAAGAGATTCGGTGATGAAAAACCGGCAGAGTTGGCAGCTTTGAATTAGATATGTAGAAACAAAATCCAGTACCCATATAAGGAAACGCAATAACTCTTGTGCCAATTATTTTAAGTTTTTAACACTTTGCTCATTACACACGAAGGAAAAGGTTAAAAGTGGAAAAAATTAAGGATCCCCAATGCCAACGTTTTAAATAAAGATAGCTTGAGTCACAGCTGGATTAACAACGGCCCACAAAAGGTGTCTAAAATCCACACACACACACACACACACACACACACACAAAAGTCATGCTAGTAATGTAATATTACCCACTTAGCACACAAACATAAATCACTCAAAAGCAAATAAAAATAAATTTAAGAATTAAAGCAGATAAATAGATAACACATTAAAAAACATGAAATAAAACAAGAATTAAAATACGTTAAAATTTGTTTATAGTGTTCAGAATTTAATGATCGCCCAAAAGGACTTGTGAAGGTTTACTCTCTCTAGAACGAAAGAAAAGTCTTGAAACTGGAACTGAAAAACTTTAATATTAACTGGCCTCAAGAATTTTACCAATTTATTTCCAAGAGAAGTGCTTTTAACATTTTTTTGTCAATTTATTGTCAAACTTTGTAATCATCCTTAATTTTATTTCAGTTTTTTCTTCTGTTTATTTCGTATTGTGTTTAATACCTACTTCTGTAAGCCCCATGTGATACTATGTGGTACATGGGGAACTTATTGCGTTTCTTCTTTAATTTAAAAAAAAAAAAAAAAAAGGTTTACTCTCCTGCTGAGCTCGCAGTCTACAGTCTGCTATTGCACTCCCTCCAGTTAACCCACTTCTTTTTGTCTTTTTAGCTTTATTATTAAGCATAGTTTTCTTCGTACTTAACGTCATATACAATTCAACAGCAAAATTACCCCTGCAACCGCTAAAACTTTAAAAGCAGCGAATGCTTATATGAGTTCCCGATGCAGCGTTAAATGTTGGTATACATTTTTCTATTTTCAGTCTTTTTCTCAGTTCATAATATCGTTGTTGAGGTTCTGTTTTTTTTCTTTTTCTGTTGTGCATGTGGGAGGGGGGAGGTCTTTTTATTGTTTTGTGCGTTAACTTTATTAATAAAAAATGTTCAGTGTATTTCCGCCACATAAAATTCAATTCAACACCAAAATCATAAATTATTTAAAAACAGGCTATCGTTCGAATTTGATATGCAGTCTCGTGCGCTGGTGATAAAAATGTTTTATTCTGTACAGTGTTACACCATTGCTCGCTTTCAAATAATTGAGTTCGTTAAGAAAAAATTTATTAAAATTTTATAAAATATGAAATTTTCGCTTCCACATGTTCGGGTGGAATTATTCGAAATTTGATGGCTCTGGATACTGTTGTTTTTTCCCACTGCCAGGAACATACTTACATGTAGATTTCTCATTATTTAATTTCTTTAAACACGACGAAAATATTTAGTGGCAATTATGTGAAAAGTGTTACAGCCGTTTACAGTGGACAACGAAATCCCGTTTCGTCACTAATAGCTCATTTGAGTTAATAATTTACAAAAAATATAAGCCTTTTTTACTTCCTTGTACGAAGTAAAAAGGAAGTATTGTAATCGCGAAAAGTTTCAGGCAGCATATTTCAAAGAAAATATCCATTTTGACCGCTATCGAATGCAATTTAACGATGCTTTTGCGTGATATCTGTACGTAAGGACAGAATAAAAGACTTGTTTCCTCCAAAAAAATTATAAAACAACTGCTTTAAAATGAATTCTGAAGAGAATTTTTCGTGGCGTCTGTACGAACGTATGTATGTACATGCGTACGTACGTATCTCGCATAACTCAAAAACGAGTAGCCTCAGAACGTTGAAATTTTGTATATAGGACTGCTATAACATGTAGATGTGCACCTCGTATTTTGGTTGCAATCGGCCGGCCCAAACGTATATATTATATACTCTGTTACCCGGCTCAGTGATCTCAGTTTCTTTACTCTTATATGTTTGGCCCACCAGCGGCCGAGCGGTAAAGTCGCTGAACACTGGTAGTTCGGTCCGAGGTTCGAATCCCGCGAACGGGCTGGCTGCACGGGCGTTTTCGTGGTTTTCCTCATGTGTAACGTGTATACGAGCCAGTTTCCCTTAGAAAGTCCTCCAGGAAGGCATCCCTTCCCTTAGGCAGATAGCCCTCGTGTGCTTTGCCATAATTAAATACACACACACACACACATTAAATACACACACACTTATATGTTTGTAAATTGTACATTTTTTGCTTTAAAAATGATTGTATTATGTTGTTTTTATCTTCCGGTTAAGGTTTTTATGCCTTTAGTAAATATGTATGCAGTATTTTTAGAATTATCAACAATTGTTGTCTAAGTTGTCTAAGTGCCGCTAAGCCTTTTTTTATGGCGGCCATTGATGTTTACATTTGAAACAAAAGACTAGTGGATTTGTTGCCAATCTAGAGAAACTTAGCTTTGCAACAACAAAGATAACGCATTCATTTATTATTGCCAATTAAATCATGCTTAATCCTTTCTGGAATTGTTTCGAGGAAATAAGTGTTTAAGATTTACTTCGTAATTTTTAATATAGATATTTTGAGTTTTTATGTATTTTTGCCTTCTCGCGAAGTGAGAACTGAATTAATTGAAAATGAGAAATACTCAATCGTCTGTGAAATACTGTTCTTTTTGTTTTGTTTGCTTAATTTCTTTTATACAATCATTCTAGCTTTATTATAGTATTTGAATAGAACATGTGGCAACGATTAGATAATTCTATTCTTTAAATGATATAAATTTTGTGCATTATGAGTTATAATATGAACGAAATA